CTAGCTTGATTTAGCAAACTGAATCATGTTCAGTGTGAAATCCTTCGATTGAAATACACCATAGCACGCGTGTTGTGCACGCAACAAGAATAGTCCATGGGCCAGAGAAGGTTCTCATTACTTCTCAGGGGTAGAAAATGCGAGTGTTACCTGATGAAAGATTATGTGAAAGACTTATCAAATTCACTCGACAGCAACCGTGAAAGAGTAACTCTCGCCATTTTCTTGCGCACTCCTTTATTTAAAAAGATGCTGCTTTAACGTGGAAACGAGGCTGACAATAAAACGATTATTTCAAATGACTTCTTCGTTTTTTCTTTAAAGAAGATAAATCAGTATCTTCAACATAAAACATGATTTCAAAATAATTTTCGGCTAAAAGCCACAATTTTACGATTTTATTTAAAAGAAGTTGACGTCTTACATGCGATCAATGTACGCTAATGAAATACTCAAATCCACCCTGAAAATTTTTAGAGAAAGTTGGAAACAGAATTGGGTGACTTATTGCAATTTGAAGATCTCCTGGAGAATAGAAAGCTTTTGTTCTACCCCAAAATCTGTGCATCTCAAATCAAGGAAATTCAGCAAGCTGGCCTGTACTTCCGTGATGCACTTCTCCCAAATATTAGTACGATATCATGGCCTCCGAAACATGTTGAGCTATGTGAAAGTGCAGTCAAACTAGAACTAGATGCGTTTCTATACACTCTCTTAACTGGGAACACACATATCCCAGCAGAATATCCCGATCGCCTCCGCGCTTTGTTGATTCTTTTGGCCAGGACGTCATTTACGGAGTTACACCAGGACTACAAAAACTACTCAAGCAAATACTGTTACCGTATGCCAAACAATGTTCAACTTATCCAGATGCCACACCGATGTGGGTATGGGATCGTTCCTTTGCCTGAAACTATCAAGCCATATATCAACACAACACTCGCATGGGACAATATCGATAGATTGGAGGAAACTCTTTCTGGCGGGGTAGCCAAAAGCCAATGGCTAGACTGGATTTAACATTTCTGTCCGTAATGAGGTTCAAATGTCACTGGAAGTCATCAGATATCTCCCGAATATCGATGTACCTGCTACTGAAATGGCTACTCTTCACGAAGTTCTAGTGCAGTCCCTCAAGAAAAAGAATACGCTCAAGTTAAAGAACATCGCCGTCGTCTTTGACTAAACACTGTATGCAAAGGCAAGCGAGAGACAATGGAAACAAAGCGCGAAATTTAAAGATATGGTGATGAAAATAGAAGTATTCCACACAACATGCACCATGTTGTCCATCACTGGCAAGCGCTTCAAAGATACTGGCTTGCAGAATCTGTGTGTAGAGTCTGGTGTGATAGCAGAAGGTTCTGTTGGAGAAGTTCTACAGGGACGCAGGTTCAATAGTTGTGTTAGACTCCACAAACTCGTGCATGAAGCCCTTATGAGACTGGCGTGGCGAGGATTTAGGCCCTGGATAGAAGAGAATTATAAGCAGTCCAAGAGTATCGTTGATGGCTTATTTGGTGAGATTGGTGATTTGTGTGATGATATCTGCAAAAGGTTGTTCCAGAAGTATATGACCAATGCTTGTAGTGTCAATTCTGTCCATCTTTTTGACAAGTACATGGCGTTTCTTCGTTGCGAGAGCGGAGTGCACGAACTATTGACGGAATAACAATGGTTCAGAAGATACGAGGCGACCAAAAAACATTTGCAGAGGTGGCTGATAGAATGATGTCAATAGTTTTGCATGAAGGAACAGAAAACTAGTGTATTGGCGTAGTCTTTGATGTTAAACGAGATAGCTCAGTAAAGAATGCTGAGAGAGATAGAGCAGAGAGGCTCGGAAAGCGGTCATGGATTCAGAAACATCAGCGTAGACAACAAAACATTCCAGTGGCGGAAATTCCTTTCCAATTCCAAGAATAAGTTGCTCCTAATTCCTCTCAGAATAGTGCGAAAATGAGATAGATAAAGACTCGCTGGAAAGAAACTCTTTGTAACAGCCGAGGATCGATGCTATGAAGTCTCTTAGATCGGAACAACAACAAGGAAGCTAAGGTCTACGCAAGAGGAAGCAAATACCAGAGTGTTACTCCGTATAGCTATTTTTTTAATCAAGCCTCGTTTCGACAAACGAGTCTCGTTTCGATTAACGAGTCTCGTCTCGACGAACGAGTCTCGTTTCGACGAACGAGTCTCGTTTCGACAAACGAGTCCCGAGTCTCTATTCTCGAACAAACGAG